AAAATGACATAACTTGCACAGAAATTAGTCTAGTCTTCTCTAAAATTAATGTAGATATGCCATTTAGAAAACATGACATAGATGACAAACGGACAAACTCCGCTCATATTATTGATTTCCCTTTGACATGTCCCTTCAGAAAAAGCGGTTCTAAAAGCAGCCAGGGGAACAAAGAGAGATCTAAAAGAGGTCTGGGAACAAAGGCAAATCTAATTTCGGTGATCTTAAAGGCATTCACACGTTGAGTCCCACGTGACCACGCGTATGGGCACAAGAGAAGCCGTGATTGCCACCCCCCTTGGGACTCAACGTGTTAAAATGAAATTACACTCAATACTATAGGACAAATCAACGACCAGCTAGGAGCTTCAAAAGTAGAGTATGCAAAGATCACCAAAAAGCAGATCCGCCTTAGTCCGCCGAACGCTTTCAGATCTGCCTTTGTTCCCCAAATGCTTTTAGATCATCCTTTTCTGCCTAGGCATGTTGTATTGAAAAAATATTTCAAACACAACAAAACGAAAATTCAATATTCCAGCACTGAACAAGCACAACACTTAAGTCTTGATTTCCATAGAACATTTGAGGGTACAATTTGAAATAACATTGTTTGCTACATTTCAATTATAAAGAAATTCATTTAAGCAAGAATAGTTTGAGCATAGTTCACTGAACCTTCCAGCTTTGTTCAAATTTGTACCTGAACTCCTATAACATAAATGGCAGTGATATGATAACACTAAGACCTGGTGTTTAGTCTGCGTCTTATGAGAAAATAGACCTGATGTTGTGTTGCACAATTAACATTGTTCTCGCATGTCACAGCACCATTACGCATTCAACTCACACTTGTTCCATTCAAAAGTCAATTAAGTCTTTTTAAATCAGCTCAAATAAACCATCGACTAGCTGACAAGGGCAAACCTAATTTACACATTAGATTTTGTTTTAAGCTCAGACTACATATAAAGATTAGATTTGATCATTCAAATGATGCAAACAGTATCACAGTAAAATGAGACTACATGCATCATTTCAAAGAACAGCACAGCAACAGCAGCGCATAGAAACATAGAAACTGAGCGTCATACACTGAAGACACATTCGTACATACTACAAATTCACTTAAATGTGACAAAAAAAAGATGGTGTAAGCAAATATAGCTTTAATAAAACCAATTCCAAGAATTCTTATTACAGAACATGTAGGAAAGGGGAGGAAAACCCAATAGGATTCTATAACATAACCAGAAAAATGTAAAGAGGAAATTAAGGCCTATTCCATTTTAGGAACAAACTTGTTTAGAAAAGAAATATCTCAACAATAGGGCCTAAGCTAGGCAGGCATGGAAGGTACAAGCACACCATTCTTAAGAAATGAAATGATACATGCAAACATTCAAAATAATTTAGGTTTGTGAGACATGCCTAATTAAGAACTCAGTACACTCCTTGCAAGAGGAATATTCTGTGTTCACATCCAGTGTAACAGCCTCCGAAGTGAATTAATGTGCTGGACATTCATTATCATCCTTACATTCTTTGGTATAAAATTTTCATTATATGTACGTACTTTCATTATATTTAAAGTAAATAATAAGACAACTTACTAAAAGAAAAAAAGAAACTAAATGTATTGGATTAGTTTTTAAAGAATAATGGAATTAAGTACAGGCAACATGTTTGTTTGGAATGTTTACTATAGTAGATTTTCATTGCAAAAAGAAACATGCAAGAAAGGAGGGATAATTTCAGTCTTACAAGTCACAAAGATGGCTGCTGGTGTGAGAATAGACTGGCAGAAAAAAATGCAAGACAAAAAAAATTCAGCTCTGAACAGTTGTTCAAAGAATTTACAGTTTTTAGGTATGTAGATGGAACTTTAGTTCAAGACAAAGCTCTTGAATATTGATTAATCATTGGTTTAGTCAAGGTCCAATACCATAATTGATTTCTCAGGGAAAAGCCCTTCTTTCAACCTACAGGAAAATAGTTGATCTGTGTATCATCATATATTGATGCAAAACATAGTAAGACTTCAGGGAAACAATTGATTCAAAGAATTTAGATAAATACTGAAAACGTAACTATTGTAAAATCAACATTTTTCACGTAACTATGAGTAAAACCCTAGTTTAATTACAGATAAAATAATACATCATAAGACATCATATTACATATTTCACAAGTAAGAATAGCAAAGAAAACTATCTTAAGAACCACAATGTTAATACTAAAGCTGCAGCTTTTTAAAAAAAGTTACAGTAAGAAGCATACATAGTATGTATTTACAACAGGGCAACATAAGAATTTTAAAAACTTAATACACTACATTAAATTTACTACAAACCTACATTTCCATTGAATGAAGCGTCCCAAAATAAAATAAAATTACAGCTATAGAGCTGCTAAATAATCACAGAACTGGGGCATTTATTCATAATAATGAGCTAAATAGTGGTCTGAAATGAAAATTACTGCCTTTCAGTTCATTGATGTCTTATTAATCACAGACTCTGGCTAAATTGGCAGCTTTTATCTCTAGACAAGTCCAAAATACTGTTGAGACTTAATTAACATCAAGAGCTATTTTTTCAAATCATCATGGATGAGTAACTTCTGGTGATTTTTTACGATAGGTAGTAAAAGTTTAAACTATGTGGCGCGTAAAAACTTCCTCCATGTATGTTAGCTTTCGGTTCTCTGAGTGAAAACAGAAACCTTGAGCATACATAACACTAGGCACAATGAAACATTGATCAAAAGAAATAGCCCAGAGTATTTTTTAAAAACTAAACAATTGCAGGATACATTTGAAAGTTTTGGTCATTGTCAATGGTGAGAAAATACTCAAATATTCTGAAAATGATTGTTCTCCTTATTTTGGAATGCATATAACTATTCTAAGTCACCATATTAAAACAATTTATATAATAGTTTCTTAGCTTTGAATAATAGTCTTGAATCAGAACACTGGTGGCCACAAGAGCGGCTTCATCTTCCGATTGAGCTTCTTGCAAGTGGGGATGAGAGTGTACATCAGGGACCACATCTGGACGTACAGCCCCTGATGTACGCCAACCTCAACACCATGATTCAGAGGCTGGAGTGTGATAGTTTTCATCTTCTTCATCACTAGGATCTTCTCCATACATGTCAGCCAATTTTCTAAACCTTGGTCCGAAGCTTGATAAGTAATCAAAGTTTAAGTCACCTTCATCCGTGCCTAGATATAACAGACAAACAAAATGTTAATGAAACAATAAAAACAAAAAAAACAACACAAAGACTGACTAGAGAAGACTTTGAACACTCATGAAGAAAAATACCTGATGCAAGAGAGGACAAGGATCCAGAGGTGTTGCCATCACCTTCGTAGGCGTAGTGGCGAACATCATCAAACGGATTTGTTTCTGGATCAGCATCCACAGTTTGTTTTTTACCATCCAGAAAACCACAAATGTCAGGAACATCATCTGTCAAAAAAGTTTGAAAAAAAAACTGAATATATGTCAAACTTACAAAAAAATGGGGGGAAAAAGGGTAGAAGTGCACTATACCTCTTCTTTGGACATGGTTTGATTGTGGAGACTTATCATGGGGTAGACTATAATTGTCACCATCATACTGTAACCGTAGCACATTCAAGTCATAGCCAGTCATATCTCCTTCACCACCTCCTTCATCTTCATAGTTGATAATGTTTTCTCTGATATCGTCAGTGTCCTTGTACAAGTCATCAGACTTACGGCGATGAACAACAACAGCCAGAAGCAAAACTGAAAGATAATACAGAGATATTTAATATACATGTGCACTATTTTATTCACTATGGGAAGCTCAAAAGTAATTTAGAATACTTACTGAGAAGAATCGCTATGCACACAAGAATGGCAACTAAGAAATTTGTATCAATTCCAAAGGAAACAGCTTTGGCCATTCCAGTGTTACATCCAGGGTCTGCATTCTTTGCTAAGCTAGGCATGCCCAAATTGTAAGTCTGAAATACACAATTTTATCCCAGATTAGAAAAATGTCATGAAGAAGAGAACTTTTTAGTATAGCTCTAATTTCAATACGAATCACTCACCTTATGATTGAATGTGAAATTTCTAACACATCCGCTGTATCCAAGGTCCATTGGTTTATGGGTCCAATTAAAAGCTCTAGCTAGACTTCCTAAGTTTACAGCCGAACCACCAACTTGAAGAGGACCATTGACATTCAAGAACTCATTGGGACCTTGAGGAGCACGCAATGCAAGGCAAGAGAGAGTCTGGCAGCTATCCACTTTCATTTCAATACTCTGTTAAAACGAAAGGTATGTTATGGTAACACATAAAACCTTTTAAAATTCAAAATCATCTGAAAGAGGTATTTGACAAACCTTATCACTCCACAAAATGTCAATGCGATGACTTTCACCATCATTCAAATTAATTTTGGTATGTTCCATTCGAACAGTGCCAGAGCCATAATCTACGAGGAGGACTGGGAATCCATTGTGTAACTCAAGGGCCATAAAATCTAAACAAGTTAAAACAACACAGAGATTTTATAATGAAAGGTATAAAACATTATTTTTGAAGAGCATAATATAAAGAAAGAACATGAGCTGCACCTTGAATAGGTAAGGCTGGATTGCGTTTCATTGGTCCAACATAGAAAACTAAACCGTCCGGCTTGTAAGGACGTAGCTCCATTGAAAGCTGTGCTTCAGCACAAGCTTGGAATGGGGGGTACAAAGCATACCCATCACCATAAAATCCAATTCCAACAACTTCACAATTTGGACCATCAAACCCTTCCATACACTCACAGCTGATTTAAAAAAGAATAAAAATTAGAGTTGGTTTCAAAATTTGTATTCATTTTGGCGATATAAAAATAAAACCTTACCTGTCACCTATGCGAGTTCCACCATTAAGACAATGGATTTCAGGTTCCGGCATGCACTGACACACAGGGTCCACCACAGCATTCACTCCAACAAATGATGAAGTATTGGTGTATACTGCATAGGGTGTGGTACTCTTGCTCAGGTAGTTGGTACATGAGGACTCACAGAAATTCTTTTCAACCAAGCACTCATCAATATTCACCATGAGAATGGAAACACCTAGCTCTCTCTCAATCTAATATATGGGTAAAAATCAAATTTTAGTCAAAAAAAAAGTAAAATATCATACTGTTGACTTAAAGACAGCAAAATAGACAAATCTTAACCTGTTCTTGGTGTTTGAGTACTGCAGCATTTAGCTTTTCAGGTGCATAGTAAGGTGATCCATGAGCAGAGAACCTCACATCCAGAAGACTGTCATTTGTATTGTGACGTGAATGAAGAACAGTAAACACATCTACATTGTGGATGCTCACATTCAACATGTTTGCTATTCGGTTCCGGAGTAATTCTTGTTTACTAATTCCATGCTGCATGGGAGAAACCATTTTAAATTTAAGACTGATAGGTAGTTCAGGTTGAGAAGCATTCTATAAAAGTCAAAGTATACACTGTGTAATGGTTATCTTACCTCATTTGGACTAACAAAGTCTTCAGCTGACACACCTATAAAACGAATTGAGCCAGATTTGTCAACAGCCTCTTCAGGTATCTCCTTTACAGTCACATTCACGACTGCTTCAACCGAATGATGTGAAATCAGAGCACACTCCTCTGTTACCTAAAAAAAGAGAGGATTGGTAAATGATGAAGATAGAGCACTCAAAATCTCATACAAAGACACAAAGAAAATATTTACGGTAAAGTGGAGTTCATAGGTTCCATTGGGAGTTCCTTGATACATTGTGATCATTCCTGTACCACTATTGAGGTTGAAGTGGGGATGTTGACTGTTTCCTGTCCAAGCAAAATATTTGTCCGGCAAATCCCAGTCATCTGGATCATCAACATATACTCGCCCAATTTCAGTGTCAGGGCCAATCTCGATATCAGTTGAATCAGGCTAGAATACAAATTAATAGTACATATATGTATTTGACAACTAATAATAACACATTGTTTGTTTACTTCTACTGAACAATACAATAAGTTCAAATATAAGACTATACCTTGTAATTATAAACAAAGATAGAGCTTTGTCCAGGTTTCATAGCATTGTCATTTTGATCTCCAATAATGACAGTCAATGTGCTAGTGCCAGTCATAGTAGGAACACCATTGTCAGTGATCATAATGGGAACCTGATAGCTCTTTTTCTCCTCACGGTCAAACACAACCGTGGCTCTGAGTTCTGTATCTAAGTTTTTAAATGGCAAAAGTAAGAGTCAGTACATGAAGAAAGGGACATTTACTAGTCACACTACCTTAAAAAGAGACAAGAATTGAGTATCTTACTGTAGATTCCAAATTTGGTTTTTATCTCCTCATCTGCTACAGGTGCAATGGCATAACTAAAAGGAGGACCATTTTCAGGGCCATCATTGTCTTTAGCATGAAGTTCTGTAATTTTACCCGGCTGTTGGTTCTCCCTCCAAATAACAGGATATGGCTGAAACAAAGAGTTAATGACTAACACACATATAAATCCAATTTAATAGGAAAACAAAACTAGCATATAACAAAACTTACCATGTCCAAGAAAGGTGCATTGTCATTGATGTCAGTAAGAGTAATCACAACTTCAGTTGTAGATCGTAAACTAGTAGCATTACCATTTTCGTCATTTGCAGCAATCAGAATCTGCCAAATTTCAAAGCCATCGGGAGGATCGCGATCCAAGGGCTGATAAGAAAATGTTAATAAATTGAGTATCAAAGTTCAGTTTTGGAATTTAAAGATGCATAGTGTAAACAAAGAGTACCTTCGTCAGTGATAGGCAGCCGTGTTTGTCAATCGCTAAAAGCTTTTGCTGATCCTGCTTCACAACAAAGTAGACAATATATTGTTCTGCTTCACGGTCCGGAATGTCGGGATCGTAGGCCTTTAGTCTGGTGATACAACCACCAACAAGTTTTTCTTCTGGGATAGTTATGTTGTTTTCATATGGATAAAAGACAGGCGGGTTATCATTTACATTTGATATCTTGATGTCTACTCTACAGTAGTCTTCAAAGGCACCATCAAAGGCACGAACTTTCAATGTATACTGTAATAGATCAGAAATAGTATTACTTGTCATACTCATGAGCAACACAACACAACAATATATTGGTACGTACACTAGTTATATTTTCATAATCTAATTGGCTGTAAACACGGATTTTGCCTGTGGCTGTCTCAATGAAAAATGCATTGTACGTATTTCCTTCAACAATACTGTAAGTGACAGGTGATGCAGTATCATTGTCGAGAGCTTTTACTTCTGTTACCAAGGCATTTATATTTGCATCTTCGGGAATGGCTTCGGCAACATAAACAGCTTGAGTAAACCTCGGTGGATGGTCATTTTTGTCTGCAATCTCAATGCGGAAAACTTGCTCTCCTAAAATTTAACACATAGAGTAAAATGCATAAGTAAGGAACAAGAAAATGTCAAGTGTCATTTAATTGGAGTTGTAGTTACCTCTGTTAGGTTCCCCTGTGCTATAAAGAGCTGACGGAGAGTTATCAGTTGCAATAACCTTGATATTGTATGAATCTCTTTCTTCTCTATCAAATGTCTTCAATGTAGTAATATTTCCAGTGTATCGGTCAATTGCAAAGAAATCTTGATTGTCACCAAGTTCGTAGGTGACCTGATTGTGCGCTGATGTGGCATCAGAGTCGATTGCTCTTACTTGCATAACAGGAGTGCCAGGGGGTTCGTTTTCCAGAACACTACCGGACACAACTTCAGTAAAAGAGGGAATATTGTCATTCACATCTTCAACCTGAATATTAATTTTTGTTTCTGCTGCCAAATTGTACTTGTTCTGGAAAGAAAATTACAGAGGTATTCAATAAAAATCATAACTAGAAGAAGGTCTGAAAGAAGACTCTGGTAGATCAAAATTTGATAATGCTAAAGCATACCTGGATTCTAACTGTAAGTGTATACTCAGAGATGGACTCATAGTCCATTGGGCGGGCCATGCGGATGTAAGCTGTATTACCATGAGGAGTGAGCAAGAAGGTCTGTTGTTTATTAGTCTGGTCTGTTCTACCAGCCACCAACTCAAACACAGGGGCTTTTTCATCAGTGTTAGACCTAAATAGTAGATTTAAAACAAAAATTAGTACAAGGAAAATGGTAAACATTTAAAATATTAATAAGTAATGTGACACTGAAGAAAACTTACTGAGCTGTTATAGAGGCAATGTTATATTCATAATCAATAAAATTCTCTTTCAAGATGATTGGGCCTTCTGGCTCAATTCTACTGAAGGTTGGAGCTTTTTTGTGGGACTCAACAACTACAATTTCTAAATCAATTGTTGTGCTCTTAGGTTCTTTGCCTTGATCAGTGGCTGTGGCTCTCATTCTAAAACGGTAACCAGGATCTCGCTGCAACAAATATATTGCATTTCATCAAAATTTTCTTTTGACCATTTATTAAGAGTTCTAAAGTGATGATACTTACATCTATGCTTTTGGCCAAGTAAATAACACCAGTGTTGCGATCCACGCGAAAGTAACCCACATCTTCAGGCATCCTGGGTTCTAAGTCATACAGTACAATACTGTTGTTTCCATCATCAACGTCAGTGGCAGAAATACGCATCACCTCTCTAGCAACAACCAAATCTTGTGGTACAGACTCGGCATAGCTCTGTGGAAGAAAAGAATTGGTTAGTTTTCCAGTTGTAAAACAAAATGAGTGTGGAGGGTTTTCATGCCTGTTTAACCCAGGTCATCCTGATTGTTGAGATCACAGCACACATCAGTTAATGTGAAGGTATATCTATAGCAACTAGTAATATGAGAATATTTTCATGGATAGTTTCAAAAACTATTAAAATTGACCAAATAGTCTGTACAAAAAATTTAGAAAAACTTATGAGGGGGCACTTTTTGTTGTTCAGCACTTCTGGAACATAAAACTTTTTGCAGCATGTCAAACAATCATGCCAAAATCTGTGACTTATTTTCAGTATAAAATTTAAACCGTTTAGCAAAGGTAATCTTAAAACCAGTTCCCAGACATGGGTGAGAGAATTAAAATTTAAGTATTGCATTAATGCTAGCTGGTGCACCAGCTGTTAATAACAGTGAAAAATTTGCTCCCACAACTTTTGGTGAACCATTATGTACAAGGTGCTATGTAAGAAGTCTTTTTCTATCACATTACAGACACTACATAAACTATCTTCGATATTCTACTCATTCTCTTGCCATGCAATCAAACATGAAAAATTTTGACACACTACATTAGATTTCTAAAAATTTTAAATATTTAGAGAAAAAAATAAAAACACAACCTCTGATAACTTTCATAATGTAATAGTGAATACCGAGTAATGAGCTCAGAACAATCGATGCATAAAATAACTTTGCAACAGAAAATAAAGTTAAGAATTTAAAAAAGAAAACAAATGAACACATGGGCCTAAAATACTGTGTGCAAAAGACTAAAGCATTTTTAGTTAGAGTGGAAGAGGCTGAAACTGCCTCATTAATGGCATCTATCTCTGTAAAAAATTAATGGAGCATTGCAAGACATTATCATGCATGACACAATGTTCACAAACCTTCCAACCATAGCTTCGCAAGTCCTGGACGCAAAAAAGACAAACTTATGAAAAACATACTTTCTTTTTCACTCACATTACATGAAGTAGACCAACAACAGACTAATTGTTTTCAATTGAGGGGCTTATAATATTAGTTGAATTTGAGACTGACGAATACATACCACTTTGTCAAAAACAGGCTGGTTGTCGTTGATGTCCTCGATAGTTACTTTTATGGTACACACATCATCCAGCTGCGGTTTGCCATTGTCTGTTGCCCTCACAGTGAGATAAACTTCCTTCTCACGAGTAGGTTCATCTCTATCAAATGTCTGTAACATTATTTGAAAAATGAATAAATAAAAGAAATACCATTGTTGAGGAATCATTTACACATGGCTTGTGAACAGGTAAGAAAATGGCGCAGATTAGTTACTTACATATCTGGTAGTGATGACACCTGTGTCGGCGTTTATGCTGAACTTCAGCCTTTCGTTGGGCGCAGACACAAAGGTGTAGACGATTTTGCCTCCATTTTCGGGTGGGTCCTTGTCGTAGGCTTTCACCTGGGCAAGGAAAGCAACAGGTAGAGACAAGTTCCAGGGGAGGGGTGGAGGGGTGCCGGTGCAGCCGGTCGCTCTGTACTCACCGTGAGGACGAAGGTGCCCACGGGCTCCTCCTCCTTGATGAGCGGCTGGTAGCGTGAGCAATTGGTGAACACGGGCTTGTGGTTGTCGTGGACGGTGAGCCGGGTGCCGGAGAACTGCGGAAAGACGTGGAGCATTAGCAAGGCCGTCAGCAGGAGGCGGGCCGCGGACTTGGTTAGGTCGCGGAGATCGGGCGCCGGCGCGGACATGGCTAGGGCAGCATGGGGGGCGCGCCTCTCCGCACAGGGACCGAAAGGGACTCAGCGTGAGGATGTGCACGTGCACGCTGTGCCCGGCGTCCAGCGGTCCAACGTGTTGTTGACCAACGACAACGACCAATGACCAGGCGTCGTCTGCTGCGCACATTGTCGGCAGGTGAGCAGGTAGCCATGCACCCCAACTGCCAATAGGTGAACACGGTTATTGCAACATTTCCCGCGTTCTTAATTATTAGCAGATGGTACCTTAAAACACCTACATAAAACATAAAGTAAACATGGTAACGTTATGGTGCTAGCAGCTCCAACTCTCGGTAAGGGCAGAGAAAGTCGAGAAGTCACAAAAGCGGCTCCTATGGGATCGACAGTCTGGTCGTTGGTCGTTTTGCGACGAGTTCGGTTGCGCCCGGGCAGAGGGGGAGGGGGGAGGGGGGATAGGAGCGGCCTGCCAAACAGGACTGCCACATCCGAGTGTGCCCTGTGGCCCTGTGCTCGAGGACAGCAAAACCAAGCGCTGGACCAGTAAACGACATTATTGGACCGGGGGAGGGGGAGGGGGGAGAATCTTTTCCTTCATCTCCCTAAGATGTCATTATTATTACACCTTACCTCTCCCCTCTACGCTGCTAGTCCGTCCGATTTGAAAGCAAAGCTATATTCAACTAAGCATTTCTCTGAGCTACGCGACCCCAAGCGTGCGCTTCTGCAAGCGTGAGCAGGGCGAGGGGCAGGGAGCGGGGAGGAACGGCGAACGCGATCCACGCCGCGCTAAGCGGAGCTCACGCTTGGGTCACGCTTGGGCCACGCTTGGGGGCGCGTAGCTCACGAAAAACGCTTAATTGAATATAGCTCAAGCCATAAACGAATGCTTTATGTGACAGGGGCGATGGTACGACGCCGACTAACGATTTATTTCGAGTGCTTTGCACTTAGCAAGGGAGATCAAATTTGGCTCAGTTCTACTTCAGACTAGGGTTGCGAAATTACCGGTAACAATCAATGTTACCGTAAATTACGGTAAAAATCGTAATTTACCGGAAATTTTGGAAAAATTGGAAAAATT